GTCGCAGTCGGAGACGGAGTTCCATTGTGTTGTTCTCTTTGCGTTGGTCCATTGTGTGCTGACTTCCGCTGCTCGTTTTTGTTGTTGTCGTCTTCGTCTTCGTCTTCGTCTGGTTGCATTTAACGCTCATTTTTTGATTCATTATTTATTGTGATTTCGCTCTAAAAACGAGTAGCATCAGGAGGCGACTTTAAACCAGAGGTGAATAGAAAAAAAAAAAGTGTGAAGCATAAATGAAAAAAACAGAAGAAGAAGAAGAAGCAGAAGTAATGCTCAACAATGGGACAAAGAGACTCCTTTCCGGTTGCTCGTTGGATCGTTGGCTCGTTTGGCCGGGCAATGGAATCCATTCCATTCGACGCTGCAGTCAGCATTCTTAGTGGCCTTTGCACATTTTGGAATATGATTAATTGCAAGTCAATTGATATTTTATTGGGTTGAAGACAATGCGAGCGGGAAAGCCGTAGGAAATGGGCCCGAGCAGTTGCGGAAGTTGCATTTGCCACCGGAACTGTCTCTGTCTAGGATGGCAACTGGCAACTGGCAACTGGTCTTCTTCAAATGTTTGGCTAAATGCTCTGACAAATGGGCCTGGAGAAAAGTCGACAGCTGAGCTGTGTTCAAAGCAGCCGTCAGATGACTTTGTCGCGTCGAGCAAACAATTTTGATGAGATTTTCTCGTTTTCTCATTTTCCACTTACCATTTAGCATTGAGCATTTTCCATTTGTTGGCCTTAACCCGTTGCAACTAACAAGTTTCTTGTTAAGACAACGGCTCTAATAAAGCAACAATGCGGCAACGGCTCACGGCGCATGCGCAGCCAGCTGCAATGTTTTTCCATACCCTGTAAACATCTGAGGCTAAAGGGTTTATCAAACTAACAGATATGTGTGAAAAACTTGCTTACAAATACATGTGAAAAATCACATTGAAATGCCTAAATTCTGTGTCCTCTTTCTACTGCCCTCTTGCACAATTTACAATGCACAATTTACAATGCACAATTCTGTTCGTGTCATGGGTAAATCTTCTTTAATTATTCTTTGGATTAATCAATTCGAGGACTCTGAATGATTCCAGTAGACTTTATCATTTCAGAGTTTTATATTTCTGTCATTAAGAACTAAATTTTTAACATCTTGTGTCGCGAAAAACATATTCCAATTAAAGTAATTCAAACTGCAGAAATTTTCATTTAAATATATCCAGAAATGTTAAAATTTATTCTTATATTTTGAAATCAAGTTATAAATATTAGTGTTCATTTTTAATTTTAGTTTAAATACAAACATTTAAAAGCATTAAGTAAATACAAAATAAATCATTATATTTTGCAATATTTTATTTCATGTATTCTATATATTGCCTCGCTTTTAATTATATATAATTCAATAACATTCATATAATTTATAAATATATAATTGAATTATATATTTATTTATTTTTTAGAACCGTTTTTTTTGTTATGTAAGCAAATTGTAAGTTTTGATATACATATATAATATATATAAATATATACTTATATCATTTAGTTTGTCACTTTAATTTCAATTTCAAATTTAATTTTAGTAGTTGTTATTTATTTTGATATCTAATATAGTTTATTTATTATTTTCAGTTCACATTTAATAAATAAATTAAGATATATTGTCTCTTAGCAACACACACAATTAAACAATCATCATTTGAGACAACTCAACTTCATTTCTCTCTGCAGGGTATCTCATAGCTGGGCATACTGCGAGTTGGAATGGATGGCTGGTCGCTCTAAGCGTTCCCATAAGTTACCTCGCCCTTCGCTTTTGTTTGTCCAAAGTGCGTCGTTGTTGTTTGTGTTGTGTTAGTTGTTACTTGTTGTTGGCTGTTGGTTGTTGGTTGTTGTTGGCTTTGAGCTGTTGGCTTGGCTGCATTTCGAGTCTTTGGCCGGGCATTATTTGCATTTGTGCTTTGTCGAATGCAACGGTAGTTGCCGTGCCGTGCCGTGCCGTGTTGTGTTTTGTTGTGTTTTACCTAATTACACACGGCTCCCCAAATCTGTCTAATTGTTTAAGTGCTTTAGCATTTTACTAAACAATTTCCATACGCAGCGAGAACAAACATTTCCAGTTATTGTTTAGATGCGATTACCCATTTTGGTGTTGCCACAAAAAACAACTGCGTCAAATGCCGTCAAAATTTATTGCCAAGAAATTCTCACACATTGTCGCAAATTGAAAGTTGCGTCAAACTGAACTTTGCTTCACTTGCTATTACCACTCTCTGTGTGTGTGTGTTTGAGTGTGTGTGTGTGTGTGTTTGTGTAACGTGAGACCCCAAAAAGCTTTCCACACACCTGCTGCTGCAGCTATTTGTGGCTTTAGATTTAGATCAAGTGCTGACGGAACGGAACAGTGTTGCATTTCTGGCTTTAGTTTTTTTTCTCTTAATTTTTCCATGTTTTTTTTTTTTTTTTTTTTTTGTATGCACTACGGAAATTGTGCAAAGTTTTATGTTGCGAGCTGTAATTAGTTATGAGTCAGTTGCTTCCCATGTGGCAAGTGGCAAGCGGCAAGTGGCAACCTGCTGTCGCCATCAAAACATAATCGCTGCAACCTTTTTACCAATCCGTTTCGGCATACTTTGTGGTGCAACATTTCTCTAAGAATTCTACTGCTGACTCCAGCTAGGTCAGAAAACTTTCTAAAACAAAAATTCCAAATAATTTAAGCTGTCAAAAATAAAATAAAATGTTGATAATTTTAGGTTTTGGGTTGCTTTTCATTTCAAAGGCACGAATCGAATATAAATGGCTATCGATGTGAGTCTAATATGTAAATATTTTATAAACATCTTATTTTGTGGTTCATAAATAATTTATTTAAGATCGAGTGCTCTCGTTTCATGTTTATAACAATACTTGAAGTTTTAAGAGCTATTACGATTATAATTTCAATACTCTATTTAAGATAAATTAGAGTCGTCCAGAAATTCGTATCAATAAGTCTAATAACTAAATAATATTTTTTATTATTTCTCTTATTTTGTAAATTTTTTCTTGATAACAAGTGCTCCCAGTTAATGTATAAGAAAAGCCTGATCTTTAGGGATCCAATTTTGTATACTGGGGGTTAATTTAATTTTATTGTATATATAAATTAGCCACGTTGGTTAACTTACTAAAAATCGTCTATAAGTTCGTATCAATAAGTCAAATGCGTAAATATTTTAGAATATATATTTTGTTGACTGATTTTGAGTCCAACAACAATTATTTATTTAATAAGAATAGATCTAAGCGGAACTTTTAAGATCACATAAATTAACTACAAGATCCTGTACAATTTAGTTTAACCAGACCTAGTTTTGTTTTAACTAGGACAAACCTTAGTAGCTTATATAAATAAATATACATTTAAATATAAACTATTTGTAAGTGGATCCCTTTCCGAATATTTTCAAATTTATGGACTTTTAAGTAAACCAAACCAAAATTGAATACTTGTCATTCTCATTCTCATTCTCATTGCGATAAGATCGTCGAAATCCAAAATGAAAGCAATGATTTATTTGCAGCTAGATTTATGAGATGCTGCAATGATTTAATTCCAGTTGAAACTGCTCTTGGCTTAGATACTTTTGTCATGTTTATTGCATTTATTGACGTTTGAATTTCTTTGGCCATTTGTGAAATAAATTACCAGCCATTTTTGTAGGTAACCACAAAGTTGACAACGATTGCAGACGGCACTCAGAAATAATTATTGGTAACAAGCCAAATAAAACAGTCAACAACAACAACAAGCCGTACAGATTTACAGTTGTCGACACACACGCACACACACACATAGACATACAGACGAATAATGTTTTGCATACTTTCTACAAGAATTTCGAGATGGAAAATATATGCAAGTTATGCAACCGGCAAATGCCAGCAACAAAGACCCCCTGCCCCACCCCCTCACCCCTTAAAAAAAGAGTCACAAGTGGAGTGCTCCGCAAGCCGTTCGACAAAGTTATGGCCATTTACAGTTGATTTTCTTGTTGTCATAGTTTTTGTGCGTGTGTGCGAATGCGTGTATGTGTGTGTGTGTTTGTAAATAGTTGAACAGTCTGCATATTTTGTTGCTCTTCTTTTTGTTATTTGCTAGTATCTTTCTTTCGTGGTATGTGTGCAGCTTCGCTCGGGGCTATAACTCAGAAATGCATCGAACAGCGAGCAGCGAGCAGATAAATAGACAGCCTTGTCCCAAGTATCAAGTGACACTATAAATAACTATCTAGCTAAATGTCATATGCGTATGTGTGTGTATATGTGTGTGTGTTATGCCGAAAAAAAGGTTTGCAGCACTTGAAATAATTTTAACACTTTAAAGCCGCTGAGTTTGAAGTTGTTTTCGATTACAACTTGGAAAATGTGGCATATGTGGCAACGATTTGAATTGCGTCAAGTGAAGTGTCCTGTTCAAAAAGATATTCATTTCAGTTAGTGAGAATTCTCGCTTTAAGTGTTGCATTTAAATCAATGTTGTGTTTTAATGAGACACAACTTGATTGACATTTTTACAGTTTTCCTTTCAATTTGCTAAATAAAACGCAGATTCAAATAATTTGGTTACTTTGGCGCTTTTTATGGTTTTGGCCGCAACGCTCATTCCACGTGTTTATGTTGATGGCAGCCCGGCCTCAACTAAGCCTCGTCGTCGTGCTGCAATTGCATTAGCGAAGCGGCGGAGAGCCCGAAACGCGCTCAGATAAATGAGTGAGTTGGTTTGAGTGGTTTTTGAGGCGGCGTCGTCGGTTGCTCTCAGAACCAGTTTGCTCTCAGCTGCGTTATCTGTGCACCACTCTGCTGCTCTGCTCGCGCTCTCTTGCTCTCTTTCTTTGTCTCTCTCTCTCAGCAACCACAATGCAAGGCCGCGCTTTGTGGTGTTTATCTACGCTGCCTGCAGCTGTGTCGTCGGCAGCTGAAAACACTCGGACCGAGGTGTCGTCAGTGCGCTGCTCGCTCAGCAAAATCAGTGTAGTTCGTCGCTTCGTCGTGTTCGGTTGTTTACTAGCCTAACACTGACTCTCTCTGTTAGTTTGGCCCAAACTTGCCACAAATGAAAAGAACGTAAACCCAAACGCCGTGTGACAACAACTTGAAGCGTGCAGCAAAGCGAGCCACTGGATTATCGCGCACGATTTTCAAAAACACACATCTACAACAACAAAATAATACACACAAACATCACACAACAAAAAATAAATATTTTTTATTTAAAAAAAAAACACACACAAAACCCATACAAAAGTTATGAATTGGCTAAATAAATATAATTGGCTGCATGTGAATCTTTGAGTTTATCACAAAAATATTAAAAGTGCAGTGCATTTGGCTAAAACCCAAACAAAGTTCAAATTGGCTGAAAACACCCAAAACAAATTTATTTTTGTTTTTATCATTTTCGAAATCGTGCTGCAAACTTCAACAAATGGTTGCTGCGCACAATCCAAAGATTAAAAGGTAAGTTTTACAACCAAAGAGTGCACAAATTGTTAAGTGTTGTGAAAATATGAATCTGAAATCAAATTAAAGTAATTCATCATTCACTGCGACATAAACAAAATGTTAAAATTATAGTAAAAAGTAGATTAAAATATTCAAATTAATAAGTCTGCATTTTTAAACTTAAACAATTTTTAATAGTCAGAAAATCTACAGAAAAATTAAGATATCAATATAGAATATAAAATTAAAATACAAAGCAACAATTAAAACTTATTTCCTTTCAAAAATAAAATGTTTAGAAAAAAATATATGACTTATAAATTATAAACAAGATAACTCGATAAGCAAGGAATTTAAAAGCATTAAAGATATAATCAAATAAAATGAGAGAGTCTAGAAAAATAATTGGAAAAATACAATACAAATGACATAGATAAAAAGAAAACGTAAAAAAATAAGAAAATAAATGATATAAATAAAAAGAAAATGTATTAAAAAAATCGTTAAAAGTCGAGAAAACAAACTAAGAAAATTAAAAATATAAATGATATAAATAAAGGGAAACCGTAAAAATAAATTGTTAAAAATAGTGAAAAGTATAGAAATAAATAGAGAATTTCGTAGAAATATGTATCTTAAAATTGAATTTAAACTCTTAAAAATAGTTTCGAATTTTGCTAACAAACAGTTTTTCCATTTCTATTTTCTCACCCACAGCAACATGGAAAACTAGAGACCAGCCACACACACAAAAACAAACACACACACACTCACTCATACACAAACACACCCATAAGGGCGATATTAACCACAAATCGGGGAAAACCACGCAAGACAACAGAAGAAAAAGCAATTGAAAAATGCAGAAACTAAAGGAAAAGTTGATCTGCAACTGGGTGTGGAGCATCTGCATTATTCTCATCGTCAGCTGGGCGAGTCAAACAGAGGCTTTGGCCAACTGTCCGCCCGGCTGCCAGTGCGATGACAACACTCTGGTGGTGCAGTGTGGCGAGGGGCAGCTGGACGTGTTGCCCATAGCTCTGAATCCATCCATCCAACGATTGGTCATCAAGAGCAACAAAATCAAAACGATCGATTCCTCGATACAATTCTACGCGGAGTTGACTTTCCTCGATTTGTCGCATAATCATCTCATGACGATACCACAGCGCACCTTTGCCTACCAGAAGAAGCTGCAGGAGGTGCATCTGAACCACAACAAGATTGGCCAGATCAGCAACAAGACCTTCATGGGACTCTCCGCTGTGACGGTGTTGAATTTGCGGGGCAATCTCATCTCGGAGCTGCATCAGGCCACCTTTTCGCCGCTGCTCAAGATTGAGGAGCTGAATCTGGGCGAGAATCGCATTGGCTACCTCGATCCAAAGGCATTCGATGGCCTCAAACAGTTGCGCATTTTATATTTGGACGACAATGCGTTGACTTCGGTGCCCGATCCGGTCATCTTTCAGGCCATGCCCAGCGTGGCTGAACTCTACCTGGGCATGAACTCCCTGCTGAGCATTCAGGCCGCCGCCTTTCAGGATCTCAAGGGTCTGACGAGGCTGGAACTGAAGGGGGCCAGTCTGCAGAACATCTCCCACAACAGTTTCCTTGGCCTCGAGGAGCTGCGCATCTTGGATCTCTCCGACAATCGATTGGCCGAAATTCCCACCGCGGGTCTCAGTCACCTGGTGCGTCTGGAGCAGTTGTCGCTGGGCCAAAATGATTTCGAGCTAATTGGCGAAGGTGCCTTTGTGGGTCTGAAGCAACTCCAGCGACTGGACATCAATGGAGCACTCAAACTGAAGCGCATCATGACCGGTGCCTTTGCAGCCAATGGCAACTTGGAGTCTCTGACTTTGTCCTCGAACAAAATGCTCGTCGAGGTACAGGAGGGTGCGCTGAGTGGCTTGCCCCACTTGCGGCATGTTGTGCTCAAGGCGAATGCTCTGACTTCCCTGGCCGAGGGTCTGTTCCCCTGGAAGGATCTGACCACGTTGGATCTATCGGAGAATCCTCTGTCATGCGATTGCCGCGTGATGTGGCTGCGAAATCTGCTGGTCGCCAAGAATGCCAGCCAGGATCAGGATCAGCTGACGGATCAGCTGCTCTGCGAGTTTCCTGAACGTTTGCGTGGTGAGCCGCTGAAGCACTTGAATCCCACCCTGATGGGCTGCAGCCACAGCGATCCACGCAAGCAAGCGTTGATCGGTGCGCTCCTCGTGGGATCTGCGGCAACGATAACTGCCTTGGCATTGGTGCTGTATCGCTGCCGGCACAAGATACGTGAGTATCTGAAGGGTGGCCTGTGGGGCAACTCGGCGCTGGGTCGCAAGGAGCGCGAATATCAGAAGACCTTCTGCGACGAGGATTACATGTCCCGTCTCCAGCATCATCCCTGCTCCCTCGGCATCCACTCAACCTTCCCCAACACCTACACCGCACCACATCAGACAACTGCTGCGGCTGCTGCTGCTGCACATCATCATTATGGCATGTGTCCAATGCCCATCAACGATTTGAATTCCGGCGACGGTCAGCACAAGTTGCAGCAGCTGCAGGTGCCTGCCATGTCTGCCACACTGTTGCACACTGAGCAGAAGCTGAACAACAACAAGGCTCTCGCCGGCAGCATCGATGACAGCGCCAACTTTGTGCTACACATGAAGACGGCAACAATGAACCGGGATCATCAACAGCAGCAGCAGCAGCAGCAGTTGCAACAACAACAGCAACAGTTGCCACATCAGCAGCAGCATCCTCAGCAATCGAAGCTGAATCATTATACGAAGCCGCAGTTTCTGGCTGCCACAGCGACTGTGGCTGATTCGTGCTATTCGTACGCTGACGTGCCCCTGGTGCATGCCCCACAACAGCTGCGCATCACACACGAGCACTTCAAGCAGCGCGAACGCGACTTTGACAACGAGAATCCGCTCGGCGAGATGATGGATCCCAATTACATCTACAGCAATGCGCACTATTCGCTGCCCCTGGAGCAGATGGGTCGCAGCAAGACGCCGACGCCGCCGCCGCTGCCACCGGCGCTGCCACTGCGTAACGGGCTCTGTGCCACAACGGGCAGGCGCTCCTTGCAACACAGGCCAACGCCAGCGACGAACACCTTGCGGCAATTCACGCACTGATCCTCGGAGCACTATCGTCGCAGGCAGCTGAGCATTTTTGCTTAGTTCCTCGTCGCGTTGCCAACTGTGATGCCAAATTCTGTAAATGCCCCACAACAACAAGAAATGTTAGTAGTAGAGCACACAAGACACTAAAGCGCTGAGTTTACACGTGACTAATTCCATTCTAGTACCCCTTACAATGTATGAAATTCTTATAGTCTTAATACGATAAACAAATTTCAATTTCAATTCTTGTTACATTTTTGTAGTATGCCATGAAAAATATCTGAATTTCATCCGATTACACGTGTGAGCTCTGCTTAAGACATAAGTTACTTAAAACACATAAGGAAATCTTTGAAAAACTCTATTGTTCTGTAAATAGCACCAAAAACAAAAAACAAAAAACAACAAAAAAAAGGAAAACGAAAAGAAAAGAAAAGAAAACTTAATGCGATCTCTAGCACTGACTTACTTACTGTCTTTCTACTACTATTCATTTTTCCTTGCGAAATTGTATTTACTTAGATCGTAAGCCATAAATTGTAAATTAATTTAAAAACTAAACAAAACAAAAGAAAAGAAAACAAAAAACACAACAAAGCACTGAGAGTCACTTGTAAGATTAATTTAAATTATTTAAACAACAAACAATTATTGTTAAAGCATCAAGAAATTATTTGTAAGCAACGACTATGTATTTATTAGTTAGTGAAAAAATTTATGCAAATTTAAGCAAATATCGTAAAAAATATATGCAAAGCGAAACTACTTTGAAAACTGAAAACAACAATTTCACCACTGTCCATTTATTTTTTCCAACGATGAGCTTGCAACTTTCCGTCTAGTTTGCTGTTGCAAGCGTCGAGAGCAGGTGGCAGCTAGATACAACAACAAAAAAAGGGTTGGTATACTTATAATGCAATGCATTGAATTGAAAATTATGCACACACACGATAGTTCCTTCTCTCTCCCTCCCTCCCTCTCTCTCTCTTTCTATCTCGCTCTCGCAATTCGAATGTTGCAAGAATGTAGTATCTGTTAGATACATGCTTCGCTTGGCGGCACAATGCTGTAAAAGTTCCGTCGCTTGTTACTATTAAATAATAGCGCATTAATTTTACTTTTTCTCGACAGACTTTTAATTAAATTGAAAGTCAAAACTTGCTGCATGCGTACTTTTTTCAATTTGCTTCTTTTTTTGTAACAGATGAAAAGGGAAAAGTTGCAAGTTGCAAGTTGCATGTTTCAAGGGTACTACAATTATTTTTTGCTTACATTTGTGGCATAATTTAAGTAACTTTTTATGAAAGAAAAATTCAATGACATTTTTCTTTTTCTTAATAAGCTTTTATTTAATTATTTACATCTGGAACTTAATATTCTTTCTTTCGCAAAATGTTAATTTGAAAAAAGCAATTAATAATTTACAGTTACAACTATGAATTCGATTTTGGATTAATCTTGAAGAGTCAATTTTTAAATGAACCCGAATTTTCTAACAAATTTGTCAGATAATATTTAAAAGAAAGCATATGAAAAAGTTCGATAAAATAATTTTGCTTTTCATTTTAATAGTTTGCAGCAGTATACACTCAGCAAAAATCGCCATGAATTTTAGAAAATCTACCTAAAATTAAACATCGCAAACTAAAAAGATTTTCTTGCTTTTAGAAATAATTTCTAAAAAAAAAGAAAACATATTTTTAAAAACTAGAATAAATCGACACTTCCCATTTTTTGTTTAGAAATATTTTCTATTATTCAGAAATTCATTTCTAAAGAGTAGATATACAAACCCTGATTCTTTCTGAAGTTCAGAAAATAGTAATTCATATTTCTTTCTCGAGTGCAAAACTCTAGTTTAGTACAGTCTTTCCCTTGACTGCAAAGGGTCTGCAGCAGCTTAGTTGTGCAACATTGGCAAATACCACCAAGCCGATTACCAATCGCACTTATGAATTTTACTGTAGACTCAAAAGTCTACTTCTTTAGATAGTCAAAGTCACAGAAAATGCTACTGAGAAATGAATGTGAATCCAAAAACAGCAGATTCAGAGATCTTGGATAATCTTCAGCAATTTCAAGCAAATCATGCGGCGGTTAAAGTCTGTTACAAATACCCAAAGCTCCAAGCCCATTTATACAATTAAAAAGTCGAGTTAACAAAAAGAAAAAAGGAAAAAACGAAAAACGAAAAACCAGAACACAAGTAGAGGCATGTACTATAATAACAATAAATAAATAACAAAGGTAAATAGCGGCGAGGCAAAGCCTCAAATGGCCAACAATAAAAGCGAGCTGAGCTGCGGTGCTTAAAGTAGCATTTCAAGAATCAAGCAAAGTCGATTCGATTCGAATCGAATCGAGTCGAGTCGAGTCGGAGTTGAGATGAGTTGAGTTAAGTTGAGTTGAAGTGAGTTGAGTTGAGAATTCATCATCAAATTTCGATTAAAAGGCGCGTGGTGCGGTTGTGTTGCCCTCGAGGGGCCAACGGCCAATGGGCAACTGTGTGGAGTCATTCGCACTATTCAAGCTTCATTAGGAGCTAAAGTAACGAAAACATTTTGATTTCGATCATTACAATTTCCTTTTGCGATGGGAGCAGCCAACAAGCACCCAGCCCCATAAGCAGTCGAGTGAAAGAGCTACCGAGTGAGTCTCAGTTACTGGCCATTCGAACTGCCTGAACTGAGAATTTGGACTGCCTGAACTGTGTTTGCATTAAAGGGTTACTGGATCAAGCCGCAAAACCGGCCAACGTAATCATTAATTCCCCAGCCGATGTCTGATGCCCAGCTATAAACTCGATACACATTGTACAGATTGTTGGCCAGTCTTTGGCTTTTCGGGCCAATTCTGATGCGGCCAGTCAGCAGGCAGTCGTCAGAATAACAACAATAACAAAAAAGTAAAGAAAGAAACTGAAAAAATAAAACTATGCTCAGGGCAGTAATTATGACGAGCCATGGTCCAAATATTGGACCCATTGTAATACGTAGATGCTGTGCGTCTGCGTCTGCCTCTGCCTCTGCTTCTGCTGTCGATGTCGATGTTGATGTTGATTGTATGATGACCATGTTGAAAATGCTCATTAAAGGTACTTCAGAAATTAAAGCATTTCACAATTGTGCTTATGGGCAGTTAACGCGCCTCCTTCCTCATAACTCTTGCCTCTTACCCCTTATCTCTTGCCTCTTGCCTATTTGGCCGCAGCGCTTTCGATTTGACGCGCTATTTATCAGCTGTTGTTATCTATTGGTGGGGCATTATACAAAAGCTTTGGGGGCAATTAAGTTGAGCGTGCCACGATTTGGGGCAAGTTTTGAATAGCTTTTAAGGGGGCGTTTTGACACTGACAGTGCGCCACTGCTGCAAGACTTCAAAATTACTTTCTGCTTAATATCGATTTTTAGTTTTATTAAAAAAAAAAAAATGAAGAAATAAATAAAATCCCCAAGGGAAAGTTGTTAGAACAATAACCAATTTGTTCGCGTTGTAGTAGCAGAGTATCGAAAGTTTGCACTGCAGTTCCGATTCGGTTTATATTTCTACAGATAACAGGTAAACCGATCCGGGGCGTGAAAACTCTAAGCCGCAAGAGCAGCGCAGAGGGAACAAGACGCAGCAGCCTCAGCAGCAGCAGCAGCAGTGGTAACAGCCCATAAAGTGTCCGCTCAAACGACAATTTCCATTTGACAAAATTCTATGGTTGGGTTTTTTGTTACACCTTACAAAGCAATGATCGCAGACGACGACGACTTTTTGTGGACCCCGTGCGGAGCGCCATGAAATTTCCCAACAATGCTTAGCACTTTGTCCCGCTGAGCGGACCGACCGTGACGCTCTGGCTCAGCTCAGCTCAGCTCACGCTGTGCCTGGACCTGGCCCTGGCCCTGGCCCTAGGTCTGGGTATGGGCCCGAGTCTGTGTCTGTGTTCGGTTTGGGTATCTGTGAAATGTGAAATTGTGTACGCACATTAATTTCTCATCATTGGCACTGAGGAGGTTGCCTGGCCAAAAGCAGCGCAGTCAACCGCTGCGTATTAATGGAAATGTTAAAAGAGATTAGGGGGCAAAGAGATACAAGCAGGCAACACAGCCAGAGATACAATTGCAACTGTTTGTCATTCTAATGCGAATCTGTATGCCTTGCTCGTACAAATGCTATTTGCAATGTATTGGGTTGCAGTTGCCAACAACAATAATATTTTGTTTTTGCTTAGGGTTAGGGATAGGGACTGAGTAGTGAGAACGAGCCGTGAGCTACCTACACTCGGCCCATTATGGTCAACATTGTTCCTGTGCTGGGAAGTCAGGCAGATTTTCATAGGTTTGGGATCCGCTTATGGGCTGAGGCAGTGTTTCTCAGGGTTATCAATACTCAATTTTAACTGTGTGCAATTGTTTGCGATTGTTTAGTTAATGAGGCATCAAATTTTAAAACCTATTAAATATTTAAAGAATAGAGAATAAATTGTTAAACTACTCTATGTAAAAATATATACTCTCTTTCAGCTGAACAGGGAAATTAACTTACAACTTTTGAACAAAAACGTTAATTTTTTTTAATCAGTGTTGTATTTGTTTTGCATTAATTTCAAAAATTAAATTATGTTAACTTAACGGTTCTTATTTTCTGTTTTTATGTATATATAAATATGTAAATAATAGCAAAGAAATAAAAAAATTACTGTGTGGCACAATATACCAATTTGAATGTCGAAATATATTTATATATCATATACTAAAAATCACTCGAAATCAATAAATGCATGTTTTTTTGTGTAATTCAATGTTTTGAAATTCATATTCACTCTATATAATTTTCAGATTCCGCGAGTAATAAAAATGTAATACCATTTATAATTTACTTATTTGCTGTATGTAAAATGATATAGGTAATGGTCGGATTCCACATTTCGTACGTTCACATTTTTTTTTTCATTTCGCGATTCCATTATGACTGTGATAATGAAACAACGGCTTGGCCGATTTCTATTTGTCTAATTTTTCTGCAAGAAGCCCAAAAATGCAGAAAGAAATTTACAAAATAAAAAGTATTACCTATTTTGCTTTTAGCATTAAAATACAGTAGGTTATTTAAAACAAAAAGAAGTAACTCAAATAGAATTGTTATCAATAATAATCAGAATTGACATTGATATTGGCTTTCATTGCATCTTTAGAAAATTCGTTAAAATTCGCAACATTCGTAAAGTATGTCCAGAATATTGTTCCACATGTGAAATGTAGAGGCAAGATACCTCATTCATCAATTTTTTTATTTTATATTTTCATTTAATAATTTACTCTCAATTTTATATCATTTTAATTGTTTAATATCAATACCTAAATTTTTTTAAACATGTTTCTTCCATATTTTTAACTGTCCTTTTTCAAATTAAACAAATAAATTCAAATTTATAATATGCCTAATATATTTTTGGTATACTCCGAGGATGTTCTGCGCTTGCGAATCTTATTAAATTTGTAGAACCTTTTAATTTATAAGCATTATATTCACTCATCAGTTATAAAATCTCTATAGTCTTTGACAGAATATATTATAATAATATATGCAATTCAA